CTCCCATTTCACTGCGCATTTGATTTGCTTAAAACCCACAAGGAAGAGGTGCGAAATCTGGTAATCTGGCGCCAACGCTAAATTGTTTGCCAAACAATTTCGCCAAGAAACGGTTAGGTGACGTCACATGTTTTTATCTTTGCTACACCCGTACCGCTGTACCGCAGCACCGCTGTGCGGTTGCTTGGAAGAGCAACGCGAAAGTGTCAACAACATCGGAGAATTTGAACAACATTGGAGGTATTTTCAACCTAGTTAACTAGAGTTTATTTTGTCATAAGGTAGTATGATTATGCATGACACGAAGTATTTGCTAGTCTAGTACTGGAGAAATTAGCGTGTAGATGCGCATAGTGCGGATTTAAGTTGTTACTAGTACGATCAGGGCATGCAATCAAGTTGCCCAGTATTATGTTCTCTGGCCCCCTTTTGTAACTCACGATTGTGTAACCTCGTACTTCTAGGGTGAGGTACAAGAGCAGTAAGAGTAAGAGTAGAGCAAAGCAACAGCGTAAGATAAGAAGTCAAACACGAACTAGCAAAGTAACGTACCACAAAGAGTTGTATTCGACATAATGCAAACACAGGTGACAAGCAGAAACGTAAGGTTGAAAGCGTAAAGATACGTGACAGTCAAACCAACAGAGGAGAAGTGCCTCCTGCTCTCTCTCCCAGCTCTCTTAAATCCAACCAAACTTGTTGTTCGACCTTCCTACGACGTGCCGGCTGCGGGTGATAACAGATTATCCCGCAGCACTCCGGCCCACCTGTTGCCGTCGTTCGCTACCTTATTGCTTCTGTTATTACCTTTAGCCTGCATCGCGTGTGAGCCGAATAGCTCATCTATTCCCCTGAATTGTCACCAACGCGACCCGCATGGCCTTATGCCAAACAGTAATTAATAAGGTGTGGTGGAACCAGCTCCGTTACACTACTCCCCCCTAAACGAACTATTGATCGCCCCGATCAACAATGGGGAGATGGAATATGATGTCGCGACGCGGCATCGCGTATGTAGGTGTAACGTAACGTTTACTGTGCGCGGGTGTGGCACGTTATTTTATTTGCTTCTAACATCTATCCCCAAAAAACCCAAACCCAAAACCCCTATACGGTCACAATCGCGCGCATGCCGCCGCGCGTAGCATCTGGCGCTCATAATGTTAGTACCGCACAATCGTCCGACGCGAGCCTTAACTTAATATTCGCCCGGTGCGAGTCTCTTCACCCTCTGCACAAGACCCCTCTAGCTTGTCCGAGACTCGATTCATAAAGCAATTTCGCATTGTTTCATTATTATCATGAATTTCCCATTATTATAACCATACCACCATACCCTAAATCAATTTACCCAAGCTATACCACACTCCCACATATGAAAAAAAACAATCCGCAAATACATATTAATATTCATGCAATACACGCAATATAATAATCCCTCACTAAATACCCTATAAATACCCGATCAATACACTATAAAATACACAACACAAATGCACGCAATGCAATACTAGTTTACATAATACGACATAATACATAATACATAATGCATAATACATAATACATAATGCATAATACATGAACAGCTCAGAGATCCCGCGGTCTGCAGCTTGTCTGTCGCCGTCGTTCGTTGGGACGCGTCACTCCGAGGCGGCTGGCCGATCTGTCGTCGCTGTGCCTCGGGCCGCGTCCCGCAGGGGAGTCTGTGTCGTACCCGTCGCATGCTCCAGTCGCGGAGGTGCACTCGGGTCACTAACCCTGGAGTGGAGGGTGAGCGAGGCCGCTCGCTCAGCTCTCCCTCGCGTCGTGTGGAGCCGAGGCGCGACATCAATCGTGATGATGGCTCACTCCTCTGCCTCCGGCGACTCGTAGCCGTGGTCGAGGGGGTGACCCGTCTCGTCCTCGTCCCATTCCTCGTCCATGAGCGTCTGGTACGGGATGGGAATGGCCATCGCCAAAAATACGAATATGTCAGGGGGAGGTGCATGCACAACCCAATAGTAAGGGCACTCGTACCTCCAACACTGCCACACCTCGAGCCAGTCAATATTGATTGTATGACTGGACGGGACGATTATGGTAGTGCCCCGAAAGCTTAGTCCGGCTGGCGCCTGGCGGCTGTCATGTAAGGTATCTAAAAGGGGAAGAAACATTTCCGTGTGGTCGGCTACCGCCGCCGCCACCCACCATCCCGCATCCTCATGCACGCTGCCCGGCGGGGGCAGTGGCACGATGCCATACCCGAAAGTTTCGCAGACGGATATGGACGGCGGGTAGGGTTGGCGGGTCGATTTATATTTTGTGGCGACCATGCAGGCGACAACGCCGCGGCCGGTTTCCATAAGGGCCCACATAATTGCTAAATATTCGGGGAGGGATAAATTTGAGTGGTTCAAAAATGAATTGTTGTCTAGAGTTCTGCCCAGATGCGCCGACGTAGCTTTCCCCTTACACATTCGTAAGACCAGGGCGACCCAGGGCGTGCGTATTGGCAGCGCGACCGGTTCAGCTGTGTAACGTTGCCATATTATTTCGGCGATGCGGATCTCTCTCGGGGTGCATTTATAGTACACCTCCGGAGCTGCAACAGGCAAAACAATGTGCCATGCATTTGCGAAGCGCGAAACAATTAATACATGATATACTATAGTTACTTTCACCGCAATTCTTAACTATCCTATATCCGTGCAGACCTAGGCACGTCCTACCCTAACTCGTGTCGACGTGCACTATGTCAACACGTGGAAATAACTACACTAGTGCAAAGTGTCAGCTATGGCTGCACCTGAACGATAAGTGAGAGCGCTTATACAGTTGACCGTGCCTCACATGTCGCACCCCCCCATCGTCCCGGGCTTCCCTTCCCCCTCCTTTGGGCCCAAGTCCCTCGTCACTGTGAAGTGAACGCAGGGGATGCCGGCCGGTCACCATCTGCGAGTGGAATAGGCTCAAGGGGTGGGATGGTTGGCGGGGAAACGAGCGGGTGTGTCGGCAAAAACGGCGCGGACAGTGGTGTATCGAGCTCGTGTGGCTGCGCAACTACGCGTGCGAGCCGTCTGACCGGAGAGACCGAGGCTATCACTAATTGCCCGTCGGCAGGTCCGTCAGCCTGTCGTTCAGTCAACGTTCTGCCGGGCTCCCTTCTGAGGGGAGGTGCTCGGCGTCACGCGTAGGATGGAATGCGTCTGCGATAGTAACAATACATTACTGCCAGCCCTCCGATTACCAGCGTCATTAAACCTAGCGACATGTAAATCGCTGAATGATGCGGGTTAATATCCAAACCTGGTTTCATGCCGTAATATGTGTCGACTGTAGCAATTCGCTTGCCATGCCTCACTGCGGCTACCAACTCATCGTACGCGACATCTAAATCCGTATTACTGTACATCTCCCTCGGGACTGTAGCGTTAGGTATCAGCTGGATATCCCGCCCAGCCTTCTGAACTGCGGGTAGCGCATAATAGTCCGCCCACATATTGGGGACTCCCGTGGAGATCACTCCCACGGCGTCTAGTGGCGAAATGAATTCCTCATCGGATTCATGATGATAAAACGATGGGAGTGAAAAATATTTCGACTCGCCTTTACATGCCGAATGTAGCGTGATGATTTGCTGACATACCATGTCAAATTCACGGACCTCTACCTCTGCCTTAGGGTGTGCCTGACAACTTATAGAAATCCTCAGCGGGTGGAGGCTAGAAACTAACCACCGCCCGTTGAGTAGATATTGTGCCTTAGGTGTAGCTCTCGCGTAAAATGTTACCCGCTTAGTACACAGGGCCTTGATGTCTGCTGTTATGTTTCGAAATAGGGCCACTGGGCAAGACGTGACAACCGATACGGGATATACCGGTGATTTAACATCACACAGCTGCTGTCGCTTGCGTAAACACACCCGCAGCGCGCCTTCGTCAGGTTGTATGTAGCTGACCCGGTCAAGCGATATCCCTATATATTCCGGTTTAAAACTATAATATGCGGCTGCCGTAGTGTTAGGTAAATAGACTGGGGGTCGTAGAATTTGATAGACCTATTACGTCATATCGCGATATCTAAGTGGTATAAATGCAAGGACGTGAAGGCCGAGCCTATCAGGAATCGCTATTGCCGTTATAAGATCGTAATAGAATAGCAGATCGCTCTGTGGAATCCGTGTGCTAGGGTAGTGGTCGGGGGCAGCGCTGCCCTGAATAGTCATGAGAATTTTACGTAAGCGTGTGGCTGGGACTAACGTGGCCTGGTAGAACGTCCTGGCAAGAAGGACGTCGACGCGACTGTATAACTGCAATCAATCGCAAGCACGCCCGTATCAAACGCCATTTCATTGCCGGACAACGATAATTTAGTTTTAGTTAAAATTATGAACTCATGCTGCGTGGCTGCGCCTGCCAGTTAGTGAGTTTTGACCTAATAGTATTAACTGCTGCCGTAAGCCGACTCGTACGATACAGTAAAAGCAGTTATGTTACACCTCATTTAGTTCAAGTCCGGACCCGTGTATAATTCATAACTGTCAGTGAATCATCTAGAGGCAGCGAGATGCGGCCCTGCTCTGTGCCCCCACAGATGAAATGGGGCGTTGCTGCAATACGCCCTCGACATCCTCTTGTGTCGCTGTCCCAAACAAAAATTTGGAGAGTTTACCAACTGCGCTAATGATCGCACGTTTGTCTCTACCGTTATGCAGAGAATGCAGATCCTTGAGCTGTTGTGTCATTATCTCGAGGCGGCGTCGAAACCACCCCTCGTGCTCGTGCAGTAAAGCCTGCAGTGGGACTCTAAGTTGGTCAGCGTATGCGGTTACTGAGCTGGAGGATGCAGCTTTCTGTGGTGGCGGCGGCAACTTAAGCATATCTGCGAGCTGGATCTCAAGCGCGGTGAGATATTGTTGAATAGCCGTAAAATTTACCGTTAGCGCTAGGGCCCAGGAAGATTGAGTAATTGAAATGTGCCCCCTCGGTACAAATGCGATACCCTGTGATGGCTGGTGTATGTTACTGGCTCTCGTAGCGATCGGGAGCATCAGCACCGCCGCCATCAGCGCGGTTGTCCACCAATTCGTCATCATGCTGTTCTGGAAGAGAACGTAAACGCGCTAGAGGCACCTGGTCTTCGTCATCCCACTGGGAACAAGCATCCCTATTACCCGTTTCTATCGGGCTTGCGGCCCGTGGGGCTACTAATGTCGCCTCTCTCACCGGTCGCGTACGCCCGCCTGTTTCTACAGCGATGTCCTGAGCGGGCGCGTCCCACTCCTGAAAGGGGTGGGCAGGTCGCAAATTACTAACGTGCACATCAAACGTGCGGGTACTATCGTCACGCTTAATGCGGACACGCCTCGATGTAAGCTTCTCGACTATCCGATAAGAAGACCGCCATAAAGAGGCAAACTTACGTGTCTGTGTGCCAGATAAAACCGGGTTGTACCACAAAACCGGGTCGCCTGGCTCGTAGGAAAACTGCTTAGCTCGTTGATCGTAAATACGTTTGTTTTTCAGCCGCGCAGTCCTAGTATTTCTCTCGATGTGTGTAAATGCTTTGTGAAGTCGCAGGCTTTCAGATTTGAAAAGTACAGGAGGACTACTAATGACTCCCCTAGAACACCATAGGGGGACTTTTCGCGCTCCATAATCACACCCTTAACAGGCATGATGGAGAGCTCCATTAAAAAATCACACCCTTAAGAGGCATGATGGAGAGCTCCATTAAAAAATCACACCCTTAAGAGGCATGATGGAGAGCTCCACTAAAAATCACACC